AATCGACGCCACCACCTCCTCCTCCCTCTCCTTTCCAACCTTCTTCTCCCGTTCCAACTCCCTCGCTTCCTCCCTCCAAGCCCACGCCGCCCTCTCCCCAGGCCAAGTTGCCTTCATCCTCTGCCCATCCACCCATGACATTCCCATCCTATACTTCGCCCTCCTCTCCCTCGGTCTCACCGTTTCCCCCGCCAACCCCTCCGCCACCCGAGCCGAGATCTCCCGTTTTCTCCACCTCACAAACCCATCCATCGCATTTTCCATCTCATCCACCGCCTCCAAGCTCCCCACAAACATCCCCACCCTCCTCCTCGACTCCCCAACCTTCCGCTCCTTCCTCGAAACCGACGCCAACTTCCCTCCGCATCGCCCAGCCATCCAACAATCCGATGTCGCGGCCATACAATTCTCTTCCGGAACGACAGGCCACATGAAGGCGGTCGCCCTCAAGCATCGCAGCTTCATTTCAATGACGACTGGGTTCCACGCACAGCGGTCGAGTCGGGATGGCCCAGACGTGACTCTGCTTACGGCGCCGATGTATCATTCGCTGGGATTCTTTTTTGCGTTGAAGGCGATAGCGCTCGGGGAGACGTTGGTGGTGATGGAGAGGGTGAGGTTTCCGGACATGATGCGGGCTGCGGAGAAGTACGGCGTTACGCAGATAACGACGGCGCCGCCGGTGATTATGTGGATGGCGAGGTCGGGGGAGATGATGCGGTACGATCTGTCTGCGTTAAAAAGGATATTTTGCGGAGGCGCGCCGTTGCCGGAGGAAGCGGCGGAGAGGTTCTCGTCGAGGTTCCGAGGGGTCTCTCTTTGCCAGGTCCGTTTTTTTTTAGGAGGATTTACTTACTTGCCAAATGTACTTAGATATCTAATAAAGGGGTGTATGTGAGTAAAAATTATTCCGCCGGAGATTGGTGGTCCCCGCCTAATTTTTATTTTTTTTTTAAACTGAAATAATTCTGACCGTATGCAATAATTTCTCGTATGTGCGCCAGCCCAGCTTCATAAGTGACTTGTGAACTTAGCTCGATGAGCTAATAAGTCATATTTAAACTAGTTATGAGTCGATCATTTGCTCGGGAGCATACTAGTTGAAAAAAAATATATTAACATAAAATATATACTTAAAAGATATTACATTTAAAGATATTATTTTTAAAGTATTAAAAGTATTTAAATAATAATATTTTGTATTTTATATTAATAATTTTCTTAATATTTACCTACTAATTATTTATTTTATTTATCATTTTATTATAAAATTATTTTAGATTAATAATATTCTCTTTTTGTAAGCAAGCGCTTGTGAATAGGCTTGAACTCATAGACTCACTCATTTACACCCCCTAATATAATATTTGAGCTTTAACTTTTACATGCATATCATCTTGCATATGCAAGCCAAGTTTTAATTTAGTTTTTACAAATTTAAATGTTGATATAAAAATAAAAAAAATTATTTTTATTTGTTAAATATGCAAATAAGAAAGAATTGGGCCATTAAGCAAATGCCCCTTTTTATTATTATTAATTTATATAACTATTGCTATAAAGTTCAACACTCAAATCGTGGCCATTTTCTGTAAATAAAAGGAAAAATTAAAAAAAAAAAATTCGAGCACGCATCCAACTTAAAAGAAAAAAAAAACTTAAATTTATTGAAGATTAAACTTGACTTCGGCTCATATGAAATGGGGGGTTTTAATTGAGCCTTTATTTTAGAATGGTCTTTGAAAATTTTAGAAACTCATTCTAAAATAATGTCATAGGATTGAAATGTGTTAGCACAATCTAACGATGTATCACTAGTATAGAGAAGTGTGATCCGCTTAAATAATAGACCATCAAGTAATTATGAAAGAGATCAAATATATAAAATGCCAACACTTGTGTGGTTGTGCAATACGTCAACTTTATTTGCGCCACAAAGCTTAAAAATAATCCAAGGATGACAAAATATTGCGTTGAGTTTGCAAGTTTAAACCTTGTAATTAAAACCAGCCCATGCAATTATGGTTTATAGCATATATCTTTGGTTGGCAGTCAAATATATTGTGTGGAGTACATTGAAGGCAATCTAAATTTAGTTTAATGCAGGGATATGGCTCGACGGAGGCAGGAGGGATTTCTAGGATGATTGATGCTAAAGAATGCCTGCAAAGAAGGTCGGCCGGCCGCCTTAGTGAGAACGTTGAAGCAAAAATTGTAGATCCCCTCACCGGAGAATCCTTGTCTGTAGGTCAGCATGGCGAGCTGTGGGTAAGAAGCCCTGTAATCATGAAAGGTATGTATAAACTGAAGACTCATCCCGAAATTTAAGCTAAAACTTCTGATACAAGTGTTTCCATTTCAGGTTACGTCGGTGATGAGGAGGCCAATGCGAAGACACTTGATGCCCAAGGTTGGTTGAAGACTGGAGACCTGTGCTCCATTGATGAGAACGGCTACATTTACATTGTAGACAGGTTGAAGGAGCTGATAAAGTACAAAGCTTATCAGGTATTTCATATTTCGAAACGCAGCGAAAGAGATATTGTTTGTTTCCTGCTTGAAGATTGGTTTGACTTCGGCTTGAACACGAAATTCATTCTGATGATCATTTGATTTATGCTCAGTTTAAAATTTGTAATGATCAAAATGATCAGTGTATATTGGCCCTATTTTTATTCTCAAAAAAAAAAGTGTTACTCAACCTTTAATTTAGGAGAAATTATTTCATATGGAGTACGCACGTAGTTCTGCGTGTGGATTCCAATAATATGTCACATTGTGGAGGTTATTGGTGAGTTATTGGGGGATTATTGGGGGTTATTGCAAAGGTTAATACATGGGTTATTGAAATGGAAACCACAGAGGTTATTGGGTGGTTATTGAAGTGGAACTGTGAAGGTTATCGGGGGGTTATTGCGGGTTTATTACGGTGTTATTGGAGTTAATGCCTCAATAATCCTCAATAACCTTCTAATAACCCTCTCAAATAAATTCTGCAGTTCCACTCCAATAACCTCTGCGGTTACTCTTTAATTTTTTTAGGTAAATCCTATTGGAGGTTATTGCAAAGGTTAATACATGAATTATTGAAATGGAAACCACAGAAGTTATTGGGTGGTTATTGAAGTGGAACTGTGAAGGTTATCGGGGAGTTATTGAGGGTTTATTACAACGTTATTGGACTTAATGCCCCAATAACCCTCAATAACCTTCCAATAACCCTCTCCAATAAATTCTGCAGTTCCACTCCAATAACCTCTACGGTTACTCTTTAATTTTTTTAGGTGAATCTGATATAACACACATAACAGTATATTACTGACGTCCGCACGTAAACCTGTGTAAGTACTCTGTATGGAATAATTTGTCTCTATTTAGAAGTTGTTCGGTTGAGTGAATTTGAGGTGTATTGTAATTTTTTTGTGGGAATTTAAGAAAATTATTTATTTAATATGAAGACCTATAAATACAATATAAAATATAAATGAATTTGAAGTTCATATCTTTCTTCATTTTGACCGAATATTGAATTATGCTAATTTTAAAATTTAAATTTAAATTGAAATAATGGTTACGTTTCCTAAAAACAAGAAAAGAAAATTTAAGACAAAAGCGAACCTCTGCAACTTTCATTAAGTGGCATTGATGGCCATCTAGGTTCCACCAGCTGAACTGGAACAAGTTCTTCAGTCTTTGCCGGAAATTATTGAAGCTGCTGTGATCCCGTAAGTCTTTTAATTTCTTCACAAATGCTTTCATAAAAATTTATTAAATCGTTTCACTTTAGTTCCTTAATATTTGCTGCTCAATTGTAGATATCCACAAGAAGAAGTAGGACAGATACCTCTAGCATTTGTGGTGAGGCAACCCGGAAGCAAGATTAGTGAATTGGAGGTCATGGATTATGTTGCAAAGAAGGTATATTTAAAAAAAAGCACATATTTTTATACCAAAGATATAAATTAAATAACGTGCGATGTCTGTGCATGTTGTAAGCAGGTTGCGCCATATAAGAAGATACGCAAAGTTTTGTTTGTCAATTCGCTACCAAAGTCTGCAGCTGGAAAAGTCTTGAGAAAGGTATTGACTACCCATGCAACGTCTGCTGCAGTATCCCGGCTGTAATACTTTTGGTGGAAGACCCCAATAGGACACTAACATGTTTCTAATGATCGCAAAATAATACATAATGATTTGCGGTTGTGTATCCAATCAGTGTGGTCTGTATGGCATTAAAGAAACTCTGCTTATTTATGTCAGAAATGTCAATGAACAAAATTGTGATGTTTTCAGAGCAAATATCATTTCAACATTCGTTTAAGAAGAATGGTTGCTCTTTTTACAAAGCTGAAATGAAAATGGTAGCTCTTCTTACAAATTTCTCTCGAAGAAATGATAAATTCATTCGGGATAGGTGAAGAGCAATTCAACAAGGAAAATGCGGTAGCGATGTCCGTTATCGTCTTTTCATAGGAATCAGAAAGAATTTGATAGCATTCTCAGAAATAAAAAAATATTTCAACGATAGTAAAGTTACGCTTTTTAAAAGCTTCAACTTGAACAATGTTTACCTATAGCTATTAATAGAAGCTGACATCACGTAAACTCCAAATACATATGAATAACCTTCATTTATAAACATAAAGCCGGCTCCTCCTATTATTAAGATGATTCCTAGGAGCTTGACATGTCATCCTGATCTTTCCTCTGAAAGAGCAACAGAATCTACTGCAACTTCAATTTCATTAAACTATAAAACAGTGAAAACATAAGGTAAGAATTCGGCTATAGCTTTTTAGCTAAGTAGTGGTAATATGAAGAAGCAGGAAGAATGTTATTGTAGTGTTAGAGGTGGTCCCATGTGCGATCATGGATGGCAGGAAGTAGTGGAGAGGGAATCAAATGTGGATGAGTGTCTTGGGCTGTTATGACTCGAGCTCATCGTTCGGTTGAGTGATGGTAAGCTTGTGTCAGAAGCTTTGAAATTGGTCTGCAGTATGATTCTTTTTGAAGATGTCGGCTATTTGATATGTTGAGCTGATATGTGAGATTTGAGTGACACCCAATTTTATGTTATCGAAAATGAGTGACGTTAGATTTCAATGTACTTCGTGCGAGCATGGAAGATGAGATTAAGTGCTATAGCGATGGGGGTTGATGTGTTGTCACTGTGCATTGGTGTTGGATACAGTGGAGATGTTGCATTCTTGAAGTAATCGTCAAAGCCAAATAACATCGGTGGTGGGAGCAGCTAGCGCATGGTCCTCTGTTTCGGTGGAGCCACCGTTTTTTGGTTTTGAAGTATCCATGATACGAGGATGTTGCCAAATTATGTGCAAAATCCACTTGTCTATCGTCTGTCTTGAGATTTGCCGGCCTAGTCGTTGTCGGTGATTGGAAGTCCAAATGTGATGGTGCCTTTGAGGTATCGTAAGATACACTTAATGAGCTGGAAATGATAAAGTAGAGGGAGATGCATATGTTGGCATATGTACTTTATAATTAAGGCTATATCGGGGCTAGTGATGATAAGAAATAGAGGAGAGCAAATAAGTTGTCGATATTGTGTGATATTGGGAAGCTCTTGAAGTGAATTTTGGCGGGGATGGAGCTTGGGGGAGGGAGTAGAGACAAATTTAAACATAGGCCAAGTTGTTGTAGGAGGGAATGAATGCAGGAGGATTGTGTGAGGTCGTGACCTT